CATTCTTTGAGCCGATCATTATTTCTAGAAGGCCAATAGTTCTAGCAGCATCTCTTGGAATGGGAAGTGGAAATTTCTTTGAGAATAGGAGGAGCATTTATTTCCAGAAAAAAGAGTGAAGAATCTTGAGATAGCAAAAACCACCCACATTCACGGTATTCCACTCTTTGATTCTGTAACATGCACACGTAATCATTATCATTCACACACACATGCAGGAGGGGGACCCCCCCAAAAAAAGAAACCCTGAAAATTTTTTTCTAAGCTACATACTTAACTTTTGTTTACAAAACAACCTTATCACCTTCAAAGTACTCTCCAGTACACTTAATACATTTGTCAAATCTGTGATTCCATTATTGGAAACATTTTTCAAACTTATCTGTTGGATGGCTGAGCACCTCCCTCATTTTTTTCTTCAGCTCTTCCACATTGTCAAATTGCTGCCCTTTTATGTCTCCCTTCATTCACAGAAGCAAAAAGTAGTCGTATGGAGCAAGGCCAGGTGCGTAAGGTGCCTGGGGCAAGAGAGGCATGCTGCTTTTATGCTCAAAACTGGCGCACTGAGATGGCTGCATGAGCAGGTGCATCGTCGTGGTGGCAAAACCAGTTCCCCATCTGCCAGAAAGCAGGCCTTTTTTTGTTGCACACCATTACACAATCTTTTCAGAACTTCTAAAAAGAAAACTTGGTTCACAGTCTGATCTGTGGAAGCAACTCTAAATGCACTATCCCCCTCATGCCAAAAAAAAAAATGAGCATCAGGTTTTTGGGGGTACCCTCTCATATAGATAACTATATATATAATTTTAAAAGTGTCCCTACTCAATTGCAAATTTTACCACCTTTCCTGAAAAGAAACTACACAGTCACATTCCGGTCTAGCTTCTCAACATCTTGTGCACTATCCTGACTAGGTTCGAATACAGCTTCTCCCAACCGCAGAAGCTAGGGCTAAGTGAACAAATTAACCACTCTCAGCATACAAACAAATAAACAAATGGAAAAACAAAGCCAGTGCTCATCACGATGATTCTAACTCGAGCAACCCTCTGGAACAGTATGGATGTTTCAAGGTTGTCATCTGCATGCAAGCAGACCTCACATTTCCTCCATGGAGCAGCGAGTGAGTACAAAATACGGTCCATGCCAACAGCTGCCAAATGCTTACCTTCCACACCACCAGGGCTCGCGATCCTCCACATATTGTTGTTCTTGGGTGCCATCAGGTTGCTTTTTGACACACAGCAACCCTATGCGAACAAAATGCTGCTCATTCCTGCATCATCCTCATAAGCATTGCTGTCTTTGAACACATTACTGCAGGCGCTGAGTCCATCATTTCCTTGAAGGTTTTGATTCTCTACTTTAGAAAGCAGAGTGTCCTTCTCCAAGAACTAGTCCCTCTAGGGACTGGTCCAAAGGACATGAGACAAAGTTACACTAGCATCCTTTCCCAGGAGAATGTTGGTTGTACTTCTAAGATAGATTGGCTCATTCTTCTGGCAAGAGTATATCAACTATCCCTCAGTCACACCACAATTGAAATGCATCTGTTTTGCTTTGGTCTTCCTCATTTCCCAGCTTTGAGGCAATTGAAAACCATGTCTTGGTTCAGGTTCACCTTAGTCCTCACAATGACACCTTTGCTTCCTAACATTTTGAAGAGGTCTAAGCAGATTTGCCCCATGCGATATGTTGTTTGGGTTCTTGACTGGGGCTTCCATGGGTGCTGATTGCGGATCCACATAAACTGAAATTCTCGACAACTTCAACAATTTCTCTTTTAACGTGATATTGCTTCTTGGTCCCATTGTGAGTTTTTTAAATTTATTTTGCTTTTATTTTGAAATTGAATCCATTCTGAAGGCTATAGTTATTGATCTTCATCAAAAGTACTTCCAGTCCTCTTCATTTTTAGCACATAGTTGCTTCTGTCATCATCACCCTGCGGGTTATTGTTGCGTCTTCCTCCAATCCTGCTGCCAAGCCCTTCTCGGCCAGCTCCTGGGTCTGATCGCTCAACATAGCGAACATAAAATGACGGAGAATCCCAGAAACGCTGTAATCAAAGCTCCCTTTTGGTGACTAGAGAAGTGGAAAGAAATGGCCCACATGCAGCTATTATAAGAATGTATTTCTCTGCAGGTAGAGAGAATTCTAGGAAAGTCCAGCTCATTCGGTAATCCCCACAGGGATGGCCCTCCCTTGACCATTGAATGCGCAGGCTTCTTCCGAGATGATGTAGAAGAGCTTTTGAGTCCCTGTCGCAGACTACGTCTTGGCACGTGCTTACGGGGGCCTGGAGATGGCCTTAGTAGTTGAGCAACCACAGGTCTACTTCTAGACAGGCTTCCCAGATAATATCATTTGTTAAAACTCTGGCAACTGTATAGTGGAATCAATTCTAGGAATCTCCATTAGCTTGAAACCAATGCCAGAAAGCTTGCCTAATCAGGATGCTTAAATCTGTATCCTGACTTTCAGTGTCTGTCTCTTAGCAACAAGTCATAGCTCTCTGCCCATGCTTCTCACCCTCTGTTTTGTACATCCACATGGGTGTCTGCTTTAGGGCAATTGCAGCATTGAGGCAGAGCTCATGGATCTCTGCCCTCCCCTCACACTGCACCCAATTGGATGGGACCTTATTATATTAATTTATGGGGTAAATTATTACCTTGGAGGGGGTGCATAATTATTAATACTATAAAATAAATCTTTCCAAAAATTCCAGTCTGTAAAACAGTACCATTCACTCAACAAAATCGATGGGAATCTACTATGTTCCAGACACCAGGCTATGCACTGATAATCGACACGAATCCCACAAATACCCTTATAAATGCTGTTGTTAAGGCCCCAGTGGAACTTGGAGGGTCCCTATACTCCTCGTGGCTCCTCTGCAAACACCATCACTTACTTCCAGAAGTTTCCACATATCCCGGAGGCTCATTCAGACCATTAGACCTGTCTCACTCTTTTGTTCAGAATAAGGACTTTGAAGGCGAAGGTAGAGTATCATATGGCATTTTACAACTTACATATTTTAAAGCTTAATTGCATCAGCTATCTTGTTCTACAGCTTTAGATAAAAAAGACTACAGAAGTTGCCCACCTTTCTATTTTCTAAAAGAAAAACTCCATCATCCTACATTCGCCTTGGAGATCTTTGTGCTGTAAGTGGAAGAGCACACATGCTGCCTTGTGCTTTGGCATGCCCTTTAACACTGTCATTTGTCTTCTTGAGAGAAGTCGAGGTGGGAGGACATGAGCAGAAAGAGGTAAGGGAGTAGGATTAAGGAAGCCAAGAATGGGCTCCATGGTGGAAGGGAAGCCTTGGGATGAGGAGGGAGAGGAGGTGCATAAATGTTATTTTTACAAATGTATCAGGGGGAGAAAGCTATAAAGTTTAACTATAAGAAGAGGAAGAAAATGTCACTCAGAATTCTTCCAAGAAAACTAGAATCTTAGGTGTGTTGTTAACAAGGGAAAAGTTGATAGAGGCCATAAAAGGCTTGATAAAATCTATCTATATATACTAAAGCAGGAAGGGGGGAAAGCTCGTAAGCAAAGAAATGCATTCTGAATACTAAATATTGGTCAATTCATTTGACCACTCTGAGCCAGGAACAAGGTGGGCCACCTGGAAATATAGACACAGACAATAATAAAACCAAAAATAATGTTTTCTCAATGTCTGGTGTGTGTGTGTGTGTGTGTGTGTGTGTGTGTGTGTGTGTTATGTAGGAAAGGCAATTAGTCAAACAGTCACATAAATAATTATAGGACTGCCTCTGTTGGACGATGAGGGAGAAGCACAGGAAGCTATGAAAGGGGATTTGATTGGGTTACAAAGCTGGGGAAAGTTCTACCCAGCTGATCACTGTAGACTAGGGATTAATACACGGCAAAGGGAGGAGAGAAGCTGAAGAGCCTGCTCTATCCAGGAAAGGGCCCACTGGGAGCGATCAAGGGCACAATGCTGGGAGTATGGTGATTGTCCCAAACTATGCAAAGCATGGCAAACCACACCCAGGGTTTTGCCTTTGACCTACAAGTTAAGGAATGGCCATTAGTCCTTTACAAAGGGTTTGTGTAAGAAGCTATGAGTAGATAGAGAGGTGAGATTAATTCTTGCTAAGGCATAGAAGCTGCAAAAAAATCAATTAATAATCAAAACTTCGAATGTATGAAGTCTGACTCTTGGAAAGTTTTAAATTATTAAGGATGAAATGTAAGGCATAAAGATCAATATCTAGACATTACTGAGCTGAAATCCACTGGTATTAGCCATTTCGAATCAGAAATTTTATGGTTTACTCTGCAGGAATGACACAATCAATCGGAATGGCATTACATTTATTGTCAAAAAGGACATTTCCAGATCTATCTTGAAGTACAATACTGTCTGTGATGGGATTATATCTATCCACCTTCAAAAAAAAATCAATCAATACAATTATTATTCAAATGTATGAACCAAGCACTAAAACTAGTGATAAAGAAATTGAAGAATTTTACCAATGTCTTCTGTCTGAAATTGATCAAACATGCAATCTAGATGCACTGGTAATTATTGGCAATTGGAATGCAGAAATTAGGAACAAAGACAAAGGAATGGTAGTTGGGAAAGATGGTCTTTGTAATAGAAATGAAGCTGGAATTCGCATAATAAATCTTTGCACGACCAATGACTTGTTCATAGCAAATACCTTTTCTCAACAATATCCATGATGACTGTCCACATAAACTTCTTCAGACGCAAAACACAGAAATCAAATGGACTACATCTGTGGGAAGAAACGATGGAGAAACTCAATATTACAAGCTAAAACCAGGCAAAGGGTTGACTGTGGAACAGACTATCAATTGCTCCTATGTAAGTAGAGACCAAAGCAGAAGAGAATTAAAACCAGTCCACAAGAGTCAAAAATGACTTTGAGGGAAGAAGAGGTGAGAACAACCCCCAGATGGACCAAAGCCCCGATGCCGTCACCACCATGCCCAAGAGAACGGCTGAAGGGACTCTAAGGGACATCAAAGCCAAGGTGAAGGATGAACCTCAGAGGAGATCAGCAAGCTTATCTGCTAAGCCTGCTTCTCCAAAGCCAAAGCCTAAGCCAAAAAAGGCCCCTTCCAAGAAGGGAGAGGAGGTACCCAAAGGGAGCCAGGGGAAGGCTGCTGCTGGCGAGATTGGGAACTGCCCCGCAGAAAATGGAGACGCCGACCCAGACCAGGCACAGAAAGCTGAAGGTGCTGGAGACGCAACTGAAGTGTGTGTATTTTTGAGGACTGTGGACTTCTGGTGACTGTATTTCAAAATAGGTTGAAATACTATTTTTTATCAATAACAATGCAGAATTTTGTCTTACTTTTTTTTTTAAGCTATGTTGTTAGCACACAGAATACTTCATGGCTATCTTTTTGGGGGAGGGACAAATGTCACCAATACGCTGTCTCCCAAGCTGGATTGATGTGGAAGACAGCACCTTGCCCTGCTAGCGGGGAGAAATGCCCTCTGGGTTTTCCAGGAGAAGGGATTCCCTGGCATTGACACACACGAGCCACCTTGGCACAAACACCTTGTGAGAGGAAAACGTCCAAATTGTTTTGACATCCTCCATACCCTCTTCTCCCTCTCTGCCTTCAGCAGAGAGTTGACTCCCACAAACCCAGAGACCTGTTGGGAGCTGATCTCAAAACATTGGTTGTTGGTGTATCGGGCAATCTGGACTTTCCAGTGACACCATCCTCACAGCATCCCTCAAAAGAGTGTGGATCTTCGGATTGGTATTTCTGCCGTGTTCATTTCATTTTCTGAAAGTCAGGGTCGGTTCATGACAAGTTGTTGAAACAGTATGCTAAACGTGAACTGTCAGCCCTCACTCTAAACGTTGCCCTTTCAGAGACTCAGCTGAAGACTCCAGTGGGTTTTACAGTGGCTTTCCGATTTGGGTCGTCCATTGAAGAAGGGAGTTTGGAAGTTGTTGTATGCTGTTAAAGATCATTTGCCCATGCTCTGCCTGAACACCATGATTGTTTGTGAGGAGAAGAGGGTCCCCAACAAATCATCACTGGTCCGGTAGGTGCAACTGTACAGCGATAATAAATAAAGATTATTGTAAAGTCATAGAAAGCATGAGCGATAGAAGAGAGATTAAATTAATGGAGTCAGACACATTTCATGGTACCATGCTCACCTCAGCCCTGCTTGGTGGTCCTCATGAGGGCAGCCCAGCCGCGAAAGCAGGAGAGAGCCCCCCTTTATTGCTAAACCAAGGGTTATATCCCTGTAGGGGGACATGATTACAGGTAACCACACATCACAGGAAGGGGCAGTACCATAGGCATATACATCATAGGAAGGGGATGTACAATAGGCATGAGCGTGACAGGAAAGGGATGAGCTAGGGATGTGCCCATAGGAAGGGAGGGACTAGGGGTATACATGTGACAAGATGGGTGGACCCTAGATTCATGATGGTGACCTAACCTTGGTCACCCTTGGGTAGGCTTGACCTCTCTGGGGTCTCCTACAAGGAAACAGACAACTACTATCCTTATCAGAAAGGAGTGGGCCCTACTTGTGGGATAAACAGTGGTGACTGCTTGCTCTAGATGGCTGATAGTTCTTAGGCAGAATAACCCCTGATCTACTTCTGATGACCTCCAAGTGTATAGTCATTCACAAGCAGCTAAGTTTGGCATATATTTGGGAAAGACGAATTGGGAGAAATCCTTCTGTTTCCCACAATTGTTTATGAAAAGTATCTTTAATAAAGCTGGATACCTTTTGGCTTGGGAAAAATGACCTTGAGTCTATCCCACATGAATTTTGAGAACATCTCAAGAACAGATTTGACACATTGAACACTAATGACAGAAGACCCGATGAGCTGTGGAAGCACATCGAGAACATTCTTCATGAAGAAAGCAAAAGGTCATTAAAAAGACAGGAATGGAAGAAAAGATCAAAGTGGATGTCAGAGGATATGAAACTTGCCCGTAATTGTAGAGTAGCTAAGAAAAATGAAATACATGATGAAGTAAAAGAGCGGAAGAGAAAACTTTAAAGGGCAGCTCAAGAAGACAAAGTAAAATATTATAATGAACTGTGTAAGATCTACAGCTAGAAAACTGTAACTGAAGACTATGCTCAGGATCTTGTAAACTGAAAGAACGGAGGAACATTCAAGCTTCAAGTTGCAATATTGAAAGATTCTATGAGAAAAATATTGAATGATGTAGGAAGCATCAAAGAAGATAGAAAGAATACACAGTCACTGCACCAAAAAGAACTAGTGGACATTCCACAATTTCAGGAGGTAGCATATGAGCAGGAATCAATGGTACTGAAGGAAGACATTCAAGCTGCACTGAAAGCATTAGCCAAAAACAAGGCTCCAGGAATTGATAGAATACCAATCAAAATGTTTCAACAAGCTGATGAAGCACTGAAAGCACTCATTCATCTATGCCAGGAAATTTGGAAGACAGCTACCTGACCAACTGATAGGAAAAGGTCCACATTTGTACCCATTCCAAAGAAAGGTGACCCAAAACAATGTTGAAATTATAGAACAGTATCATTGATATCACGTGGAACTCAAATATGCTGAAGAGCATACAACAGTGATTGCAGCAGTACATTGAAAAGGAGTTTCCAGAGGTTCTCACCAGAGCAGATGTGGAGCAAGATAGATGATGATAGATGGATCCTGACTGAAAGCAGAGAATACCAGAAAGAGGTTTACTCCTGTTTCATTGAAGGTGCAATGGCATTTGAGAAGAATGGGGTATTCAAGAATACTTCATTGTGCATATGTGGAATTTGTACCTGGATCAAGACCGTTGTGTGAACAGAACAAGGGAATACTGCATGATTTAAATTCATGAAAGGTGTCCATCAGGTTTGTATCCTCTTGCCATATTATTCAATTTGTATGCTGACTAAATAATTAGAGAAGCTGGATTTTATGAAGAATAATGCAGCATCAGGTTCGGAGGAAGGCTTATTAATAACCTGCAATATGGAAATGACACCACCATGCTTGATGAAAGTGAGGAGAACGTGAAGCACTTGCTGATGAAGATAAAAGATGAATTACAACTCAATGTAAAGAAGACCAAAATTCTCACAGCTGAACAATCAGGTACCATGATAAATGGAGAAAAGATTGAAGTTGCCATGGATTTGTGTCTTGCTTGGATCCACAAAGCTCAGGGAAGCAGCAGTCCAGAAATCAAAGGATGCATTTCATTGTGTAAATCTGTTCCGCAAGACCGCTTTAGAGTTTTGAAAAGCAAGGATGTTACTTTGAGGACTGAGGTGTACTTGACCCAAGCCACAGTATTTTCAGTTGCCTCATATGCATATGAAAGTTGGACATTGAATAAGGAAAACCAAGGAAGCACTCATTCATCTATGCCAAGAAATTTGGAAGACAGCTACTTGACCAACTGATTGGAAAAGGTCCACATTTGTACCCATTCCATTTGTACCCAAATCTATACATTTGAGTTAGGATGCTAGCAACACATACCAAAAGTATCATGGACTGAAAAAAAGGAGAATACTGCTCCTTAGAGGCAAAGATGGAGAAATTTTATCTTGCATACTTTGGGCATGTTTTCAAGAGAAACCAGTTTCTGGAGAAGAATATCATGCTTGGTAAAATAGAAGGGCAACAAAAAAGAAAAAGTCCGTCAACAAGATGGATTGACACAGTGCAACAATAGGATCAAGCATAGGAACACTTACAAGGAGGGCACAGGACTAGGCAGTGTTTCGTTCCGTTGTGTACAGGGTCAGAATGGACTGGATGGGACCTAACAACAACAGCAACAACATATGCATGGGAAAGTTGGACACAGCATAAGGAGGAGTGGAGAAGAATTGGTGCATTTGAATTATGGTGCTGGCAAAGATTACTACAAGTCTCATGGACTGCCTAGAGACCAAACAGATTGGTCACGGAAGAAGTACAGCCAGAATGCTCCTTAGAGACAGGAATGAAAAGACTTCATCTATCACACTTGGATCATGTTGTCAGGAAAGACCAGTTCCTGGAGAAGGGCATCACCATTGGTAAAATCAAGGACCAGCGAAAAAGAGAAACACCTTCCAAAGAAATGGGTGGACCAGTGGCTGCAACAATGAACTTAAAAGAACAGTTATGAGGATGGAACAAGAGCACCCGATGTTTCACTCTGTGGTACACGGGTCATTTCATGGGAACCAACTCCAGGGCACATACCAACAACATGAACTCAACCAAGAGGTAAATGATTTTGATGAGGACTCAGCAAGCTGTTTCTAGAAGGGGTTAGATCAGTGGTTCTCAACCTTCCTAATGCCATGACCCTTTAATACAGTTCCTCATGTTGTGGTGACAACCCCAGCCATAAAATTATTTTGGTTGCTACTTCATAACTGTAATTTTGATACTGTTATTGAGGGAATTAGTTTAGTGTGCCAACCTGGCTGATAAACACATGTGGGGTTAATTGAAGGGCAGAGGGATACATGGTTCAGTGAGCCTTGCCTTTCTAGTCTCAGGTCTCTTGCTTTCTGATGGTCAGACCAGAGTACAGTTAGCTGCCTTAGCCTGTTCCTGCTTCAGCTGGCAAGGCTCACTTCCTGCAAGACATCCCCAAGGAGAAGCCACATGGACCTACCCCGCTGCAGTGCTGGAGCAGCCATGTGGAGACCCCTGCCAGCACTGAGATGCTTACACATTCACTGATTCTGCTTCCCTGCTGCAGTTGGCATCATTGCTTGTTTTTTGTGAGATGGAGGGGAATTTGGGGATTCGTGTTGGACATATGGGTTAATGTTGGACTTGTGAGCTTGGGCAGCACTAGGTTGGGATGTTTTCTTGATGTGCACATAACCTTTATACAAAACTCTCTCTTATACACATGAATTTCTATGGATTTGTTTCTCTAATGTTCCCAGACTGACACAGTTATGAATCAGGTGACCCCTGTGAAAAGGTCATTTGACCTGTGGGTCATGACCCACAGATTGAGAATTGTTAAATAGTAAATATTTTAGACTTTGTGGGCTATATGGTCTTTGAGAAAATGACTCAATTCTGCCCTATAGAGTGAAATGGGCCTTAGAAAATAAAAAATAGTCCTGGCTATCTTCTAATAAGACGTTATTTACAAAAACAAGCACTGGTCAAATCTGGTAATACTGATTAATTGATCTATTAACTTAACAACTACTTACTGAGAACTTACTATGAAAGGTGCTAGGAATACAATGATAGGATAAAGAGATATAAGTTTTGCTCCTTAGAGA